TGGGGTGGGGGAGGGCGACACGGAAAGCCCTGAGAGAGGTACAGGCCTAGAGAGAAGTACTTGTTGCAAAGTTCATGCAGAAGCAGGATGTGGTGGTGGTGTCTGGTGGGCAGCTATTTTTAGATAATTACTGAAATAGCTGCCTGGAAGTTGATTCAAAGTTTCAACTACTTTGAAGAATGTGGGCCACCTTTTGATGGTTTCAGCCTGTGCCAGCTGATGAATTTCCCTTGTCTCTTCCTCCCATCCTCCATGTGACTGCTAAGTAATTAATTTCTCTCCCTCCCATTCTCCGTCTTGCTGTAATTTAGAACACCACAGAATTTTTCTTGTCAATGGTTTGCACTTATCCAACTCCTTTATCCTGGAGTTTTGTAGACTCCAGAGCTGGGGAGCCTCCTCAGCTGCCTCTGCTGGCCTTGCCTGTTTATCAGTGAAGCCTGGTGCCAGATACAGTGGAAGTGATGTTGACATTGTGAGGAAGGGACCCTTCCCCTGAGATTTGGGTGGCTATGAATAGAAACTCCCATTTTACTAAATGAATCAGGCACCTGGAGCTAAGACAGTAAAATTGGGGTGTATAGAGAGCTTCCATCTGCAGATTTTCAGTGATTCTTATGCATGTGGTGTTTCAACACTCAGAAAGCTCAAAGTGAAACTGAGTAAACATAGTGCCAATGAGCATAACTTTTTAAAGTTTCAAACTGACTTTCATTGTGGTGAAGAAACAAATGCTAGTTCTTTTGTTGAATTTCAAGGAAGACTTCAGAATCCACTTCCAGCAACAGTTGTTGATGTAGAGTTAACCAGGGAGGGAATGGTAGGCCCCCTTTATTTTAAACATTCCTTTCAAATAATAACAGAATTTGTGTGTTTGTTTGTTTTGTTAATCCTGAACAGGGGATTTTTTTCCATTCATTTCTTAGAGAGAGTGGAAGGGAAAAAGGGAGGGGGAGAGAGAGACAGAGAGAGAGAGAAACATCAATGTGAGAGAGACACATCGATTGGTTGCCTCCTGCACAGGCCTGGACTGGGGACTGGGGATCAAACCTGCAACCCAGGTACCTGCCCTTGACCCGGAATCGAATCCTCAACCCTTCCATGTGCGGGCCAATGCTCTAGCCACTGAGCCACACCGGCCAAGGCAGGAACAGAATTTTTAAAGGTCCACATGATTTGGAGGAGAAAGGAAGAACTGACCTAAGGAATGTTAAAAATTATATGAATAGCCAGGCTGGGTGTGGCTCAGTGGTTGAGCATCAACCTAGGATCTAGGAGATCGTGGTTCAATTCCCAGTCAGGGCACATGCCCGGGTTGCGGGCTCAATCCCCAGCAAGGGGTATGCAGAAGACAGCGATCAATGACTCTCTCATCATTGATGTTTCTGTCTCTCTTTCCCTCTCCCTTCCTCTCTCTGAAATCAATAAAAATATATATTTTTAAAAATTATATGAATAGATGCATTGTATTATAGATTTTTTTTTTGTCTTCAATCATTTTCTTCTCATAGAATTTTAAATACACACTCAGATTCTTTAGTTAGGAAGATTGGTAGAACAGCTTAACTTTAGACTTGTCAATTACACAAATGAGAAATTACCCAAAAACACCATAAAAATAAAACATGACATTCATACCACTGGATAGGGAAAATAAAACTAATTAAAGACAGAAACATTGATCAATATAAGTGGAAGACAGGAAAGGAGTACAGAAAAAAGCAAATTAAAAGTATGATAAATATAAAGCATAACAAAAAATGATACACAGAAAAACTCAATATTTACAATAAATTGATTAACCTTCCCAGTTATGTCACTTAAGGAGTTTGAATATATTCTGGTGATTCTGAGGGAGAAGTGGGAAGTGCCCCACCTGGGTGTCTGAATCAGTCACCTGTGACCGTATCAAATGTGCCCATTTTATATGTCTGCCTCCAGGCATCAGTGCATATGCTTTTAAGTCTAAACCCCATGGGTGGGAGTTATTGCTTGTGTCAATGACTTCACTATCCTTTGTAGATTTGCTCAATAGTTAGCCAGTCTTTTAAATACAAAGGAAGCTGTAGATTTCTGTAAATTAATGTCATTTCTGCTACATTCTTGTCCTCCTAAAATAAGCTGATACACATATTCTATAATTTCAGGGTTTTTTTTATTGAATCAGTCTATGAAAGATGGTACTGTCACACCCACTCATTATAATGTCATCCACAACACAGTTCACTTCAGCCCAGATACAGTACAGAGTCTCACAGACGATGATGCCACATGTATTGTAATTTGCCAGTAAGTGTTTTTTCACACCGATTTTTTTCCAAGTCTAAAATTGTTCAAAATTGAATCTTTACTTTTTGAGCCTTTGAATTGCAATCTATGAAATTTTAAATTTAGGGAAAGCAGATATGAAGTTTAAAATTTTTTAAATTTGTTCTTTCTACTAACAGTTGTCATCAGAGTTCCTGCCCCTTGTCACTGTGCCCACAAGCTGGCTTACCTTGCAGGTCAGAGTATTCACCAACAACCACATCATTCCTGTCAAACCGTCTCCTTTACCTTTGACCCACAGAGAAAGCCTGATGGGACATCGAACACCACAATTTGTAAATTTAACTTTTTCCTTTTGAAGCTGAACATCTAAAATATTTTCCTAGATACATAATTTTAAATTCTAATCATTGTTAATTGGACACGGAGAAGATTCAGAGTGATAAATGCCATTTTCAATACCACCACTGACTTAACATAAGACTCCTGTTTTCCAGACAGGAGAACTGATAGTGAGGATTTTGTCCAGCAATTTACCTTTGAAATGTGTTACAGTAAGTTCATGATTAAATGTACCCAAACATTTTGCACTCCTAGAAATGCTACTCTGCTCATTGTAAAGGCTGTGCTTATATGGTGAATACACCTAAGAACAGGTGAATTCTACTTGGAAAGTGATATCTACTTTATTTTTGAAGCATTTTAATTTTAAAGCATAGCCAAGACAAAAATAACAAAATTAAGTAGGGATTTGTATCTAGTATTTTATATGAAAGAAATAACCTGTATACATGAATATTGTTTATTCTTTGTACTGGGGTGGGAATTTGTATTTTGGACAGAGCTGTAATGAGGAGAGTTTTGTAATTTAAAAGTTAGCAATTTGTGCCCTAGCCAGTTTTGCTCAGTGGTTAGAGCATCAGCCCTCACACTGAATGGTCCTGGGTTCGATTCTGGTCAAAGGCAGTACCTCGGTTGCAGGCTTGATCCCAGGCCCCTCTCAGGGCAAGTGCCGGAGGCAACCAATCCATGTGTCTCTCTCACATCAATGTTCCTCTCTCTTACCCCCTCGCCCTCTTCCCCCCTTCCCCCTTCCACTCTCTCTGAAGAGCAATGGAAAAAATATCCTGGGATGAAGATTAAAGAAAAAGAAGAAGATATACTTCCGATAACTAACTATGACCTCTTTTGCTTCAGTATTGAGAGCTGAAGACTCCAGTTCTAGGACACAGAAAGACTGACCATCATACAGTACTCACTTAAAAACGAAAAAACACACAAAATTGCTAAAAATTGAATGGTTCCCAGATGACAGTTTTCACTCTCTTAATAATGAACAGAAATCTGGAATTCTGGGAGCAACTATAAATATGACTCAAGGAGACCCAAGCAAAGCAGCTGTAGTTCTAGAAAAAACAGTAAGAGATCCCAAACACAATCATGTATTCCATTTAAAAAAAAAAAAATCTTAGCTTTTGCAACAGAATTGATAGACCTAGAGAGCATTATGCTAAGTGAAGTAACTCAGAGAAAGACAAATACCACATGATTTCACTTATATGTGGAATTTAATTAAAAAATAAACAAAATGGAAACAGACTCAGATAAAGCGAACAGACTGACAGCTGTGAGAAGGAAGGTGGTTTGGGAGCTGGTTGAAAAAGGTGAAGGGATTAAGCAATACAAATTGGTAGCTAGAGAATAGCCACAGAGATGTAGATCACAGCATGGGGAATATAGTCAGAAATATCAAGATAAATATGTATGGGGCCAGGTGGGTACTTGAAGTAGAGGGGTGGAGGGGACCAGTCTGTCAAGTACATGATTTTTAACCACTTTGCTGTGCA